AAATTAGATTTTAGAGTACTTTTAATAATTGGATTCTGTAAAAAGCTTGTGTATCAGAAGGCATGTCAACCAGAAAAAATAGTTTGAGAGAATATATTTTTCGGTAGTTTTTCACATTGTCATGATTTACTTAAATTTTACACAATCATATTACAAGTTAAAATTACCGTATAAAAACAAAATAGGCCTAGATATATTATATTATATTAAATAGTACGTAGCCATTGTTCAAATTTAACACATACAAAGTTTTAGTTTAAGTCAAATATAGACTTATTTATTTGCAAAATAAACTCGTGAAAAAAGCAAATATTCAAAATAAAAATTAATAAGCAAACCTAATTGCACGGATTGAATGATATACCATTATTTACCAGTATCCTATAATAAACAAAATAACAAAAGATTTGTTTATTTTGGCTTCATTCTCTACAGTTAAATGTTCTATAAATAAAGATATAATATTGTTATCAGTTAATAGAGAAATGTTGTGTTTTATTTTAATTAGTGTTATTTGTGTGGTATTAGGGTGTTTTAGCAATTTAATTTACTGAAAACCAAGGGCGTAGATAAGGGGGGGGGGGGGGGTACAGTACCCCCCTGACGCTTGACGAGATACGAGAATTGAAATAGTCATTGACTATGAAAGGATTTTTTTAATTAATATCCGACATATAAGAACACTTTGTATGCTTTTAATTATGTTGATGTATCGTTTATAATATGTTCGACCTAATTAAAAGCACACAAAGTGTTCTTATTGGCCAGGACAGATTAGTGGGGTTAACTCTAATCAATATCCATAAAGATATTGAAATAAAGGTTGATGCTGTTATTGATAGGTTTTCCAAACAGCGTACTAGAAAACTTGATTTTGTTTTGTAGTTTTATTTATAGTTTATAGTTTTTATAGTTTTTTTTTGATAGTTTAGAGTTTTTTATTTATAGTTTATAGAAAATTAACTAATAAACGTCGTTGTTTCATTTTTGTTTATGTTATTTACAAATCTATATTTTAATTTTTGTGTTATGTTTTTATATCTTTTTGAAGACAAAAAAATCGCCGTCGTTTTAATTCGACAAAAAAATTCCGACGGTGATTTTTTTTGCGACTTAATCATAGTACCACCCCCATAGCATACACCTATCTACGCCCCTGCTGAAAAGAGCTATTATATTATATTTACAATTATATTGATAATAGACATCAAAATATGTAATATTTTAATTGTTTAACTGCCAATATTTCTAATGAATATCTAATAAACATGTAAAGGGTTTAGTTGAACATGTTTTTTACAGCTTCATTCTTGTGATTCATACTTTCTTTATTATGGCTATTATCAGATTTAATTAAATATACTATTTTGTCTATTTTTTAGGACTGGTTCTATTTATTTATTTTTCCTAATATAGGTTTTAAACTGATGAAATGACTCTCAATCTTGCTCTCTATTTATCATTAGGGTCTTTCAACAACTAGTTTTATTCACGTATACGATTAGAGAACTCCCTTAAATGTCAAGAGGATATAAAAGGTAAATTATATCAAAATTTATCATTATATATCTACAATATATTTTAACGGAGGGTTAACTCACTGTTAAAATTACATGTACATTCTCTTAGCAGACGCTGGCAGTCATTATTGGCATCAGTCGATTGGCAATAAAATGATATTTTGGCAAGACATGTACATTTTTAAACTTTTAAGTTTTAACTCCTTGATTTTAACTCTATTTTTTATATTTCTTTAGAACAGATAACTATTATAGGTAGTTGGAAATAACCATTTTAGGATCCAAGATTGGTATGCAATAAGTTATAGGCAGATGTTCTTGTTTTGATTTTTTTCTTAGTTGTTGTATCTTTTTACCTTTACTGATAAAAGTGATAAATGTGATAAAATTCCCAAAACAAAACCTGTATTTGCTATTTTTTCGTAGAATAAAGATTTGTTCAAACTAGACTGTTTAGTTTGATATGTGTGTGTTTAAATGTAATCATCACTTTAAGGGTATTACCTTGACCATAAAACTTAGTTGAGAGCCATAGTAAGTAACCAAGAAACCAGTAAACTCAATCAGAAGTACCATTGGTCGTTTGTGACAACGTTATAGGGAGACCGATCAAGTGAGGGAAATGCATCTTGGCCCTAGAAGGGTAACTGAGCTTGTATATGACAGATTCATCCGGATTCAAGAACTTTTTAACCCAAACCTTACAGCTACTCAAATGAGAAATAAGCTGCTAAATGTTCAGCAAGTAAATGTCACTCCCAAACTGCTAGGCACAGATTGCATGCTCGCCGTCCTGTTAGAGTTCCTGTATTGACACGTGGAAATCGAGGAAGGAGGTTAGAATAGGCTGAAGATCATGATAATTGAGAAGAACAACACTGGGCTCGTGTGCTTTTTACTGATGTATCCAGATTTGATTTGAAACCAGATTCCAGAAGAATAAGAGTATGGAGACGGTCATAGAATGCTGCTCGTCTTTAGAATGCTGCTCGTCATTGTTCTTCCTCGGGCAGCGTCAATCAAGGAAGAATTTATTCTTTGCAGGAAAATGCACCCCCGCATGTAGCGAGAACCCTGGGACTACTTTGGAATCACTACATTATTACCCTGTTGCCGTAGCCTGTCCAATCTTAAATTCTACAGAGGACGAATGAGATATGTTGCAAAGACGTGTTATGAATCGTGCAATGTTGTTCCAAACCGGAGCGAAGCTGGAAAGTTGCTTAAGGGAGGAGTGGCAGTAAATTGACCAAAACAAGATAAACAAATGAATTAGAAGTATGCCTCGTAGATGTAAAGCTGTCATAAACAATAAGGATAGTCCGTCTAGAAAGTATCCGGAATTTTATATTTTTCCTAATTTTAATCTATTTTTTTCTGTAACAACAGTAATCCATCACGTAAATTGTGCCGACACTAGGCTATGAACCAAAATCGCATGGCGACACCATCTGTCAAATATTGTTGATTGTAAACCGGCTTAAGATTTGAGAAATAATGTCGAAAGTGAGAAAAAGAGAAATGGTGGAATATTTGTATAGAACAGGTGTTCGAAACGTTAAAAAATTAGTGCAATTGACTGAACTCGGAAAAAGTGCAGATATGAAGCATGAACCAGTTTCAGGAAGACCGCGTAAGATTCGCGAAAACAATTTAAACGCTTTGGTGGCATTAGGACGACAGAACCCGCGCCTAGAGTTTCGCAAATTGGCTAACAGATTTGGAAGTCAGCGAAAATTAAAAGTGTGACCAGAAACCGTCCACATGTCACTGAAACGACAAGGCATATCAAGGAAGCCAAAAAAAATCCCTGCAATAACACCTCTACAAAGGCAGCGAAGAATGGATTTTTGTCAACGTTTTCAAGAAGATAATTTTAATAATGTTTTTATTTCTGACGAAAGTTGTTTTCAGCTTGGTGGAAACCACTTAACTCTCTCGGCCGTCGAAAAACCGACAGGGGACGGATAGCAACGAGGCTCCGTTGGTTGTCTCGCGAGGCGGTCGCGAGGCCCTTGCGAGACCCGTCCACACTTCTCACGTCTCGCACTCGACTCCTCAGGTCTGGACGCACCATTACCTACACAAATTTCGCGTTACACCTCAAACACTCGGCTACGACAACTAAAACTAGATGGGATTTCTTTCGATATTAAAAATTTAAATATTACTTTATATTGATTAAACTAAACATTATACGCGATAAACGATACAAAATCCTAGGTTGTTTTTTAATTTGAGTTGTTATAAACACCCAAACTGCCCAAACGGCGAAATTTTTCCAGCGTTATGACTGAAATCCTTTTATGAATGACGCGGTCAATGGCCAATATAAACTATATCTATCGCACCTTAACCCATTATATTTTCTATACGTAGTATACCTTACCTCGTTGGCGTCACGAGCCGCGGCATTTGGAGTTTAATACGTGCAAAACATAGAGGGAACGAAGGACAAAATGAAATTTTGACCGACAGTAGAGAAAATGGGTAAAATAAAGCGTCTTCGAGCGAAAATTGGAATAATTGAAGATTTTTGAGAATAGTGTTGAATATCGTAGGATGAAAAAAAGAAATTTACAAAAAGTATAATTTAAATAGTTTTTTTTCTAATATTCTTCTGATTTTTTTTGGGGGGGGGGGCATTGACCATTTGACCTTATGCTTAAGCCGCCACTGCCTGTCAAATGAACTTTGAATCATCAAAAATATTAAATTTTAGCCCAGTTATTAAACAATTTGTCCTATTAATCGCTTATGATATTTACCCTTCGGAGCGTTAAGACTTGCAGGAGAAAATCCAGAGATTTTCGAGGGGGAATATCTCGAAAACTACTTATTCTAGGTAAAAAATGATAAGAATCATTTTTGTATGTTATTACTTAAACTTCATTTTCTATTCTAGGTAAGCAAAATGTTGTAAATTGCATATTTTGGCTTGGTTTGGTTTGTTTGGCTATTTGGGCCATTTTTCGGCCAATGCTGGCCAAGCACGGTGTCCATTCCAACAATTATTTTGCTTAAAACTACTCCCCAAAATGTACATAATCCGCCAAAAAAGTCAAGGTTTGGGTCAAGAGACTTAGGTCTTTTCGTATCCTTATTTACTGGAGTATTTTTGACATATTCTACATAGGATCAAAAATAAAAACATTTTGAGCTTGACTGCATGTTTTAATTGTTGATAGCTGACATGACATAGCAACTAAACTTCAAATTTAAAATGACTCAATAATTATGTCTTGTTTTTATGTTAATTCAGATAATTTTTTTCGTTTTTTAAATAACTTTATCATTAAATGGTCCGTTTTAAAAAACTAATTAATTGCGTATTTTCGCAAAAACATCTCGTTTATGATAAAACACTCTATAAATAAATAAATCATATGTTTGCTCGCACTTAAGGCTATAGAGAAAAAAAATGTTATCGGCCTTCTTACTGATAATCAATAAATGTTACAGTGTCATTTCGAAAAAGAATCCCGTAAGTAGATCAGTCGTGTATAAAATTGCTAGAAAATACCACCGGCTCGTTTTACGGGTCTCTCTATTACTCAGATAAGCGAGATGCGCCTAATCACGATAGTATTACAGGCAAAGTACTTTGTTAAATCATTTAACAAATAATTTTTAAAAAGGGTTCCGTTTCAACCTGGTTTTAATTAGTTGTTAGTAGCGTAATGTTGAGTAAAATGTGTCAATAACTTTTTTTCATTTTTTTTCTCTTTTTTCTTTTGTGTTGTAAAAATGGCCAAGAATGGCGAGGTACAAGAGCAGATTAAAGGTAAAACTACTTTTATATTTAATTATTTAGTTTATTTTGACAAAAATATTGTTAAGATATTTGTAGATATTATAGAGGATTAGTCTTAAATAAGTGCAAATATTTTAGGGGTGGTATATTTCGAGCCCAGAAACACGTTTGTAAAGTTTTTTCGCAAAAAAATAAAAAGTTGGTATTTCTCTAAAAAAATTTGAGACTTCTTTTTTAATTTTTAATTAAAATTATATCTGGATATTATGGCAACATAGATAATAGACTAAATTTACCAGAAAGAAACACCAGCAAATAATCAAGTGTTTTCTGAACTTAAGCAAAAATTATATTCAATTTAACGTAACTCGGTTATTTTGGACATAGTTGAAAAACGTTAAAGAGAAAATGTGTTGATTTTATCGATATCTACCAGCCCTGAAAATATTTCCACTTATTTAAAACTCATCCTGTATATCTAAACAATTCGAAAATCCTTTAGTGGCATAAAAGCGACCGACTCTAAAATGAAATAATTACTATGAGACTGAGAGCGGTATAATATAACCTTTCGGTTAATCAATAATCCGTTTCAACTAAAAAACTGGAAATAATTGTTGATGCTATGGTAATCTGAACCCTCAATAAAATAAGTGCATTGGAAGTCCAACATAAATAATCATCTTCACTTCAACTTTTTAGTATTTGTAAGGCTTGAACACAAAGTTGCACACAGTTGCAACAATTTTGCAGAAAATATGTATTTTTGTCTATATTTTACGTTTAATAAAATAACTTAGTAAGGAACATTCAAGGAATTTGTCGTAATTATTCAAGATCGAAAAAAAAAACGGCCTCAGCCATGACTATGAAAAGATGTTGATGGCTGATATTTTTTTTATACTCAAAATTATATATTCCCCATATAATTTTGAGTATAAAAAAAATATCAGCCATCTTCATCTTTTCATAGTCATGGCTGAGGCCGTTTTTTTTTCGATCTTGAATAATTACGACAAATTCCTTGAATGTTTCTTACTTATAAGTTATTTTATTAAACGTAAAAAATAGACAAAAATACATATTTTCTGCAAAATTGTCAACGAACGTCATTTTCAAGCCAACAAGACGCCGATGTTTTTTCGATCATACGGTATAAATTTAGCGATACATATACAGTAAAAATCACAAGAGCTTTTCTTGTTTCTACATTTCACTCAACATAATATGAAAGCGACTCACAAACTCACATTAGTAACTGAATGCTTGCAAACTCCGCCGGACTATAGTTTGAAGATATATCAATCTTTAGTTATTTAATTTATTTTATACTGTATGTTTGACTTTTCAGCCATCCCACAAATTTTTTATTTATTCTTTTAGTATAATTCGAAACGCCGCGCCGGCGCGGCGGCGGTGCCGCCGCCCTATGAATATTATAATTTTCATCGCACGTTAATAATAATGCATACCGTAAAATGGGGTGAATAGAAACAGTTTCGTAGGCTATTAGCGATATAACGGTTGATAAAAATGTGATATTATTTTCCCGAATATTTTAAAACATGGGTCTTTGTTTGTTCTTTGCGTATATATATATATATATATATATATATATATATATATATATATATATATATATATATATATATATATATATATATATATATAATTTGATTTTTGAAAAATATGCGTATAAATATTAAATAAAAATAACATTTGTGTTTCTATTCACCTGCTATTCGGGAGAATAGAAACACACATTGATGTTAAGGTTTTTATCTATTCTACTTCCAACAAGGTGATTAGAAAGAGTAAATTATTACATATTTAAGTAGATTTAACAATAATTAACAATACATATAATATAACAACTTACAGGTACCAGCTTATGTATTACTTTAAAAATAAATATTTTATTTATAAAGTTTTTGCGCCATACAAAATAGGTGATAAATCGATCTCACATTTATTGATCAGCTGATTGACAGAAACAGTGCTGCCACAGATAAAAATGTAGTTTTTGCATTTTATTGTGTATTACCAATGATAGAAAAATTAGATATGTCGACTCTTTTTACTTTGAATAATTTTAATCGTGATTTGATTTATTTCAGATATTTTGTTTCTTTTCACCACTATGTTTCTATTCCCCCCATTTTACGGTACCTTAAATAAATTTGAATTAAGCCTGACTCTGCTGTTACAGATAAAATATTAAACCCCTGAACACATAAAGTTTTACCTGTCAATTTTCCATATCAGGTAAAAGGGAAGACCATCTAGAAATCTGATAGTAGTTTTCAAGACGGTCGTCCAGACGGACTAGACTAGCCCCGCCTACACATAACGTTTTATTATCAAGTAAGACGGATTAAAAACATCGAAAATTATGCTTGCAGTTTTATCAATTATAGCATTGTATTAAGTGGAGTTGTTACAGTGAAACTCGGAAATTCAGTAATTATTGTTAACTTTTACTAGGAAAATGGCTAACAATTACGCATTGGACCAGTGAATGTCGTATTTTAAAGAAATTTGTCGACACTGTTAACTAAAAAAACTAAACTAGTTTTTCAATGTTACTAATAACATTTGTTACTAGGAATTTCTAACATTCACTAGTGAAAGTAACATTTACTAAAGGTTCCCAGTAAAAATTATTTTATTATTACACTGTGGGAGGTCTCTGCTATGTGTGTGGTGAGAAGAGCGTTGGTGGAAGTTAGAACAAATAAAACTTTTGAGAATATTGGATCACTTCAATCTTCAAGCTGATCCACGTATCTTAAATATGCAATTTACTTCATTAGAATATTTATTAAAAATTATAGAAAATAAAGACATTTATTATACACAAACATTATAACCTTCTAAATACTAGAAATAAACATAATAAATATTTTAAAATATACAAAACACATAAAAAACATTCATAACATAAGAATACTTATTGACAAGTTTATAGTCACTAGGTACCTTAATAAGTTTTTCTCTAGCCTGCTCAACTTTTTCCATCATTTCATTATATTGCAGAAATAAAAAAAAACATTATTACATTCTTGCGAGAGCCTATTTTGCTTTGATTTTTCACAGAAAATTTCTTCTATTTAGGGAAAATACTGCAGAGCACACACAAAACCACAAAGCGAATTTACGCTAGATGTCTGTCAACATTGCCAAAATAAAAAAAAAAACACCAAAATTAACACCCCATTTAGCCACTTTTCTTTATTTACCTTTATATTTTACAACATGTGGCAACCGTGCAAACAGAATCTTTCTTTCCATTGCTATCCCCCATGGAATACTAGCATTCACTAGTAAAAGTTGGTTTCAAAAATAATTGTTGAACTTTTACTGGCGTCGTCTTAGCAAATAAGTGAATGTGAGCTTTTACTAGTAACTGTTAATAATCACTAATTTCCAACTTTTACTTGACAGAGTCAAAAACAAGAAACATGGAATTTTAACATGGACCACAAAATTGTTCTACCTATAGTTTACTTCATTGGTGAAGACGCAGAGCTAATTGTGAAAATAGTATTGATTGGTAGTAATTATTAACTACCTTTATTAAATGATTTTGTTGAATTACATTATTTTGTAAAACTGTATGCAAAAATATTAGATTTTTATAGATCACTAATTAGACTGTTACTATATCCATATGATTTTTTTCTAAATTTTATTTTATTTTCAATTGTCTAGGCGGCCTTTCGTCTTAAATTAGTTCAGGTAAAGTGAAGCGTTTTTTGTCTACACACGGTTTTCCGTCAAAACTGGCAGGTAAGACGTTATGTATAGATGGGGTTTTAATGTCTATACTTCTGTGGTGTGTTCATTTGTTGAAAAGAAAACCAAATGTTTTCAAACTAAAAAAATAATATATTAGAAAATAAAGAATTATTAAAAACCTAACCATGTTCCGCAATATTAAGATAAAATACATTAGGAAAATAATGGATATACATTTTTTACATATATTCCACCTATAATGGCGTTTTAATTTATGATCATCCTATATTACTAATAAAGAATTTTAATCATCTAAACATAGGAATTTCACAACAAAATTAAAGATATATTAGACTGTTCCTAAGCGTTTGTTATTGGAACTTTATCTGATGTAAACTACAAATATTTACATTTTTTTAACTATGAAGGACTTCTTTGTGTGAACAAGAAATCGTAGCCTGATTATTATGTTTACTATGATATCAGAGAAATAATTGAAAATGTTAGTTGTTTTGCTTGTAATGTGTTACATAATTTAAAAATGCAGTTTTTAAATCAGTACTTATAATTTAAGCAGTAAAAGATATCTTATACCTATAGGCTTTTGCCTAATTCGAACAAGTTTTAAATTAATAAAATGCATTTCGGGGAGGCTAACCGTAGATACTATAACGTAGTAGTGTAGACAGCATAACAAATTATATTTGACAATGATAAAATCATACCTTGTCAACTTAAGGAATGTTGATATTTGCCAGGTTTTGCATTGTTACCTCTTCAGTTTTAATTTAAAAGTAGATGCAGTTTTTTTTAAGTTACTTAAATCGGCGTGTCCAAAATTGTTTCAATTTGGCATGTGTATTCAGCCAAACTCAGACCTTTAAAACAACTATTTACGACTTACGTGTAAAATTAACACGGCAACCAATATTTGGACAGTTCAAAATTTGCATGGGATTTCCTACGGTTCCAAAAACGATGCACCCGGTATGTGCTAGAGTGAGACAACTTTGTAATTTATTAGTACCGGAGAGGATACAAATCTCCGGACCAAATAAAGCGAAGACAATTGTTGAATTAATTGATCACTATCATACGTTCATTGTGTCCTTTTCTGAATCGGACTATATATTAAATATTGTCCAAATTTTATCCTTATAGTTAATTTCAATTAAGCTCTGCTTTGCTTTTACTTGATCCATTTTAACATTATACAAAATAATCAATTTTGATTGCTTTGACGCTATGCTTACTGTTCCGCGATAATATATGAAAATAAATAATTAAAAAAA